TCGGTTGCGATCTCCTTCATGTTCTCGTTCAGCATCTTTATCGTTTTCTTTAGATCTCTCTTTTTCCTTCTCCCAATCCCTCTCTTTCCTCTTTTTTTCCTTCAGCATCTCCTGCAATTCCTTTACATCCTTCGAAATCAAATCCAACGGTTGAAAGAATGAGAAATCCTCTTCAATGTCCACTTCGCTCTGCGAGTAAAAAAAAAACCAACAAAACTCAATCTAACCAGACCAAAACATACACTGTAGGAATCACAAGAAATCAAACAAAAACCAAAGTTCTAACATTGCTCAAATTAGCTTCCATCTCCATGTACTGGAGTCCTTTTTGAACAAACTTGATAAGAGCACCAGGAGGAACCATATTCCCATCAATGCTGGATTTATTTATCCCTGCTTCATACCCTAGTGTGAATGCAGCATGTGTAAACCCTTCACACACAAAAAAATAAAAAAAAACACGAAGATACGATTCAGAGCATAAACTATTACTAACATCTAACATAGCTTCAAGTGAAATATCATAAGACCAAACTCTTCAGATTTGAACTCTTGTCGGGACAAAGAAATTACCGGTTACAGAGAATAAAAAACTACAGCCGAGTACAAATTAGAAGATCTAAAGGATTCTGAGCCATGAGACATTACGAAAATCCTAAAAACTACAATTTTCCGTACCATCGTTGAAACCCTAAGACGAATCCAGCAAAATCCCTAAAAAATAAAAAAATCTAACCAGACAAAGACATTCACAATTCGAGACCAAATCCAAAACCCTAGACTGTAACTACCGTAACACATACAAATTTGGTTTTTAAAGGGAAAAAAGCAAAACAAATTCTGTAAGAACAAGTAGAGATTGGATCGTGTATATACCTGATTCCTGAAGATATCGGAAAACGAGAAAATTCAATTCGACGGAAGTGAGTGAAGACATCTCCTAAACCAAATTCTCCCTTGGAATCACAAAGATTATACATGAAAAAGAGAGAACAAAATCGAAGAAAAAGACTTCAAGCAAATTAGCAAACAAACGTCGCCCAAAACAAAAACAAAAAAAAAGCTTAAATTTTCTCGAGATTTTAAAAGATGATTTTTCTTTCTTCATCTCCAACTAATGTAAGTAATCAAAACAAGATGGGCCTAACATTATCCAATAACTTCACCTTTTAGGCCCAGCCCACTTAACATGTC